ACCTTCCTTCCGAGGAGTGGCTAGTGGGTTTGAACCGCCAGCCGTCTGGTTAGCAGGCAAGTGTCTTAGCCACTATGCTACCAGAGCTCTTATCTTATCACTGACAGCTTTGTACTTCAGGATAGATCTTGAAACATTTTTTGTGATGATAAATGCCACACCGTTCCTCTTCAATTTGTCATTCTTGGTGTGGTAGATCATATCATTGTCTGATTCAGAATGGCCAAAACCAGTCCATTTTAGCTCACTAATGCCTAGGATATCAATATTCATGTGTTCCATTTCATTTTTGACAACTTCCAGTTTTTCTAGATTCATATTTTATACATTTTTATACATTCCATGTTCCAATTATTAATGGATGTTTTCAAGTGTTTTTTCCCATTTTGAGTTTTGCCACATCAGCAAATGGAGGTCCTGAAAGCGTTACTCCATCCATTTCATTAAGGTCAACTCTACTCTGAGGAGGCAGCTCTTTTCCAGTCATAGTTTGAGTGTCTTCTGACCTGAGGAGCTCATCTTCCAGCATCATATTGGACAAAGTTTCAGGGCTGTTCATAAAGTTTTCTAGTACTATATCAGGCATTCTTTCACTGCTATTCATGAGATTTTCACTGGCCAATTCTTTGAGAAGTGGATGTCTCCTTCCTTCTTCTGAGTCTCTCTTAGTCTGGAAGCTCTGCTGAAACCTGTCCACTATGGGTGACCCTGTTTGAAATACAGGTGGCATAGCCTTCAGCCTCACAGCAATGTAGAAGCCAACACAGTACAAAATAAACTGACGGACGAGTGGTGGTATGGTCTATGCTGCCTGAATAAAAGCCACAAGGGGGCTACAAGACAATATCTGGACCCCAACCTTAATTTAAAGATGTCACTTTGAAGACTAAGGTGCATGTGACACACATCATGGTATTTTCAGTTGCCTCATATTCATGTGAAAGCTGGACAATGAATAAGGAAGACCAAAGTAGAATTAATGCCTTTGAATTGTGGTGTTGGAGATTACTGAAAATACCATGGACTGCCAAAGAATGAACAAATTTGTCCTGGAAGAAGTGAAGCCTGAGTGATTCTTGGAAGTAGGAATGACCAGACTTCATCTCACTTACTTTGGTCCATATTGTCAGAATAGACCAGTCATTGGAGAAGATATCATGCTTGGTAAAGTGGATGATCAGCCAAAAAGGGGAAGATCCTCAATGAGATGGATTGACACAGTGGCTGCAATGATGGCCTCATACATGGCAAGGATAATGAGAATGGTGCAAAACTGGGCATTTTGTCCAGTTGCACATAGGGTCACTATGAGTTGGAGCCTATTTGATGCCACCTAACAATAATGACCTTAATTTAAATTAGGAAAGGACACACTCAGGAAACTACCCTAGTTCTTTGTGTAAGCATATTCTACTTTCAGCTATACTCTTCCTGAGGGCAAACTGCCCCTCCCTAGG